ATTTCTTTTATTTAAAGTAACAAGTTATTAACAAAAAGTTAACTTAGCTTAACACAGTCGGTTTAGAGTATTGCTAAATCTTTTGAGAGTTTGACTTTTGACTTTTGGTTGCTGTGATTTTGTTTGTTTTTAAAACTAGGTTTGGTTTGGGGAGTGCTGGGTTGTGTTAAGGTGTGGCAGTAACTTTTTTTTATTTTGATTTATATATTATAAGATAACTTTTTTTATCTCTTAAAATTTATTATATATATTATTAAATTAAATTTAGATTTAATTTAAGAGTGCTAATTTGTATTTACAGTTGTTACATTTGTAATTTTTTAATATCTTACAAATATATAAAATATTAATTAAAAATATGAATCGAAAAAATTTAAGATGTTTCAGTAATTACAATTTTAAGAATAATAATTAAAAATATTCTTAATAAATCAATGCATACAAAAATTTATTAAATATATTTAAGTGATTTTACAAAAAAATTTAATATTTGAGTGTCAACATGTTACATTTCTCTTAAAAATAATAAATTTATATTTTCAAATAAAATTCTGTGTCTCAAAATGTCTTACAAACACATAATGGGGTATTCCAATACGATACTTAATGGGGTTTGTGATTCTAGAGCTCCCATTTAGCTAATCTAATCACTTATCCTACTTACATATATCTTACAAATACAAAATGTGCTTTGAAAAAACAGAAACAAAATAGAAAATCTGTTACAAAATATCTAAGTATTTTAGTGATTATTTTATTTTATAAAAAAATAAAAAATTTTAAATTTAACTCATATAATATATGAATACATAAATTAAAGAATTAAAAATGAAAAACCATATCACATGGACTGAGGAATATTGCAGTTACTTTGATTGATATTTTCACCGGGAAATGTGATTGGGCAGCCTTTGTCTCTCCACCCTGAAGATCAAACCATCAACTGTAACAAAAGTAAATCTGTACAGTACTGCTTCCTCATGACCTTTCTTTTTCCACCTCTGAAATTCTCCTGTCAATGGATCTTCCTTAGGACTTATTAGGTCACCTAATATTTTAGTAATAATTAAAGTTTAATTTATAGTATTGTTATATTAAATTTTTTTTTTAATTTTAAATTATACTTGTTCAAAAAAAGAAGAAGTTATACTTCACTATTTTTATTAATTTTCAGTAATTAAAATATTAAGAATAATGAAAATTTTTAAATATTTTTAATAATAAATTAATAATGGAGAAAGATTTATTAAGAAGTTACTAAACAATTTTACATGCGGTCTAGTATACTATTATATGTTAGGAGCTTTTAATTTTTACTTTTTTATTAAGAATTAAAAAAATATTTTTAAGATTAAAAGTGTTGGGATTAGGAAAAAAAAAGGACAATGAAAATGTTAAAAATAGTAATAAATAGACTTAAATATGAATCAATTGAAAAAAAAATTTATTAAAAGGTATTTAAATAAATTTATAAATAATTATAATATTTTTTAAATAATATATTTAATTTAAGAAAAAAAAAAAAGCGGATGCAGAAAGATATCCTTCCCTTCTCTCTCCTACCTTCATTTAAAATGAGGGAATGAATTAAAAGTAAAAAAATTAAAATAAAAGACTTCACTCTCTCTCCTCTCTTCCAAATTTTTACCAACCAAATAAACTTTTTTAGCTATTTCTCTCCCCTTCCTTCCAATTCCCTTATACCAACATTCTGTAAGCGCTTTTAAACAGATTTTAATTAAGGGTCATAATATTTTGTGCGGACAAATTTTTTGTTTTAATAAGAAAGTTGATTTATTCGTTTATTTTTTATAAAAAAAAATTGTCATAAATGATTCAGTGATAATATTTTTTAATTAAAAATAAAAAATCTTGAGACATGTGGATAAATATAGTAAAAAATAAAAAATAATTACTTTTCTTACTTGCAATCAAGATAAAAATAAAATTTAAATTGATCCAGTCACCGACGAATGCCATTTGTAGCCCAATTCTAAATCATGTTCTCATTCTTTAAATTGGGCCGGGCTATGAAAACAAAATTGTAGAACAAGGACCGATAAAGGCTATAGTAGTTTTATCAATTTCAATGTTTTTTTCTTTTTTTTTGGGCGAGGGCCAGAAGCCTATGTTATTTTAAAGGCAAAATGAAAAAGATCAATTTTCTTTGGTGCATTTTCATTTGACAACTTAACCCTTTTTGATATGGTATGCATCATAGTTTTAAAACTTAATTAATCAAAATGTTACTATTAATTAAATTAAAATTTTTTAAAGATCCATAAACTTTAATGAAAATATTATTAAGTTAATAACAAATTTTGGTCCAACTCATTTAACATTTTCTTCTTAAAACTTAATCTACCAATCATTTTTGTTGAATCCCAACACACCGTGGGGACAATGGGGCAAAATCACTCAATAAGTCAATAATTCACTGTAATCTCCATTTGATTGCATCTCTCGAGACCCCATCCCATCTCACATCAAATGCACAAATTCTAATGGAGCAAATGGGCTGAATCTGCTCACGAGTGGAAAACGCAAGTGTTCCATTTTCGTTGAGCCATTTTTCAAGGGAATTGAAAATTGGGAAGCCACTGTCATGATCTGTTTGGATGGACCAATTATTGTGGATTCCATTCCACCCATTACTTTGGGAATGGAAATGGAAAGAAAAATGCAAGGTATACCGTTTTTAGTGCGATGACATATTTAACATTATCTCAATTATGTCTGCACAATGCACATACAGGAAAAAAAAATGCAATCTCTCTTCCCTTTTGGCGGTGCGTCGTGTCATACGTGAATTGAAAAGGAGGTGTGGTTATTGTTATAAAAAATATATATATTAAGTTATTAATTTTTAAAATTTTAAAATAAATTTTTAAAATATTAATTTATTGGTTATATGATTATTTAATAATTAATAATTATAATTAATAATTATTTTTATTAATTAAAATAAATAAAATTTATATTTTAAAAATTAATATTTTATAAATTTTAATGACTTTAACATCTTGAATGATGGCTATAACCCTACAAGTGAAAAGGGCTTTTTCTTTTTTCTTTGGATGTACGGTGCTTTGTACAAACTTACAGTAATATATTACATTTGGATGGCATATTTAAGGATAGCAACGGGTCCATGGAGGCGGAACCTCTTTTCTATCCCCATCTCCACCAATGGTGGATACGAGGATTTTCACGAGAATTTTTGGTGAAGATTCAAAAATAACTTCTGTTCCCATACTCGTGAGGAATGATCGGTCCTCGCGGGTATTCGGAGTCTTCATCAAATAAAATTATCATCTCCTCCACTATTTGTTAATCAAAACTAAACCTAACATGAGTCTGCTTAGACTTCATTAGTTTTCACATTCATTAAATAAAACTAGTTCAAATAATCATATAAAGTACAAATTTGAAACAAGACAAACAAGTAGTAAATATACACAACTAATATATACATGTCAAGTAGGTCCAGTAAGTCAGCAACAAGTTCATAAAGAAAAAAGGCATAAACTGCCATATAGGTCCAACAAATCCAGCAAAAGGTTCATAAAAAAGAAAAAGCATAAACTGCAACTGTCATCAGCAAAGTTCACAGAAAAAAAATACATAAATTGTTGCTACACATGTCCAGCAATAAGTTCATTAAGAAAAACGGCATAAAAGAGATGAGTTACTAGTGACTGGTTGAGTGATTGGAGAAGAGCTATCAAGTCCAGTGTGAGTGAGAGTTGGGAGAAGAGTAGCGTTGCAGTGGTTGTACAATGGGTAGTGACGGTGAAAGCTTGAAGAGAATCACAGATGAGGATTGAGGAGTAGAAACAAAGTTATAACGTAGAGCCACAGAAGAGACCGAAGAAAAGGAATCACAAATTTGAAATTGAAATCTTTGGATAGTCCTTCTAGGGTTACCAATGCAAATTGGGTTGGGCAATTAGGTTTAGGAAGACTAGAATGACAAAAAGAATAGGCCGGACTTGACAATTGGGTTTGGGAAAACTGAAAAAAGAATGGATTGTGAAATTTAGGTTGTATTGATATTGGGTTAGCTAATTAGGTTGAGTAAGTAAAAATTAATTGTTAATATATTTATAAATATATATATGTATAAATTTATATATATTTTTTTATTTTATATGGATCCCCACAGTTCCTTACAAAATTTCACGGAGAAAAAAATGCCTTCATCCCCGTCCTACGGAAAAGAATATTCTTGGAATCTCCATCCCCATGACGGGGATCTTCGTGAACCTCCACAAGTCGTGGAGGAAATTGCCATCCCTAGGTATATTAGCTGGTGCAAAATCTACATACTTTTTACCGAATGGTAGTGTTAGGTTGGGGTGCCAAGACTTTGAACCCCAACCTGGCCTTCTCTCGTCTATTATACAAACAATTAATGATATTGTTTTAGATTGGTATGATTTCTAATTTTAAAGAGTTTTTATGGTAAATGTAAATCTCGTGTTAAAGTATATATGATTAATTTTTACATAATATTAAAGCTCAAATTCTGTTTTAAGAAGTTTGAGATTCACTTAATAATAAACCTACATGTGAAAAGAGTATGTTAAAGGAAAAATTCCTATATTAAAAAGAATACTTCATTTAGTCAAATTTAGTTGTCTCAATTTAATTTTTACATAAATTTTGATCAAATAATTTTATATAATAAATAGATGACTTATTGAAAACCTTTTTCCTTTCAATATATAGTTTTTGTTGAATATTTTGACTTTGATTAAAAAAAATTTTAATTGTTATTTATTTGTTATATAAAATTATAAAATTAATTTACATAAAATTAAAGTACTAAAATAATTAAAAAGGACCAACAGAAGTAACAAAGAAGCAAAGAGTATTACTTTAACTATTATTAATTGACTTTAAATTATATACAAACGTTTTATTTTAATTTACATGTAAAATTTTCACATAAAATTTATTAAAATATCTTACTTATTTTTGAAAATATAAAATATAAAATTTATTTCATTCAATCCAATACTATAATGTTATGCAAAGAAATAAATTAAACTTCTATAAAGTTCATCAATCACAAAACAAAACAAGAATTACAGATCAATCATTCACTTCTAGGTCAAACTCCCATTGTTCATCAATAATTCAATATCCTGCTTAACTATTTGAGAAAGAAATCAAGAGGACTATTTTATCTTTTCTCCTAAAATTTATCGAAACCACATAATTTGCTCGGCGAAAAATCGACGGTTCAAATCAAGTGAAACTTTGGAAGACGTCGACTTATGAACGGGGGAAATCCCCACGTCCGGACAGGAGCTAAGATCTTCTGATCTGTCCGACAACCCAACTTGTTGAAACACAACAAATCTGTCCCCTTCCACGTACTGTCAACTGTTCCACTACCCCATTGGTTTCGTATTTGCAAATTGACTCTTCATCTCTTGTGTAATATTTGATTGTCTCAAATTCATTCAACTTTCTCACAAACATATCCATTCCTTGTAAACTTTTTAGGGTTAATTTTGAGATTTCAAAATTTTGGTTTGATCAATAAATGATTGATATGGCTATAAAAAAAAAAAAAAATGATGTCCATAGTCAGTGGAAACTTGAAAGAAATTAAATTTTATTCTAAAAAATTTGGTCCATAAAAAAAAGAAGAAGGAAGAATAAGAGTAGATCCTGTAGCAACCTTAATTTTTTGTTTCAATTTTTTAACCTTAAAATGCAAGAACAAATTTTATCTAGAAACTATCCCTCCAAAAAGTCTGATTTCTTTTAATATTGCTTATTTTAATTAATTTGAAATATTTTCTACTAAAAGGAATTAATTTGAAATATTAAAAAAGCTTTGAATTTGGGAGGAACATTTCACTTCCCTCTCTAAGTATTACAGTATAAAAAGGTGTTGTGCACTATGTGAGAATTGTTTCAAACTGCACAACTTTAATTATTTGGTGGAGGTAGGCCCTTTGATTTGATGCTCTTTCTCCATTTAGTAGTTTTTATTTTATAGTCTGATACAATTTGAATTGTCAAAAAAAAAAATTCATTATAGTATATTGTTTGTCTTATTGTTTTTTTATTTGAATTCTTCTGATACGTGATCGACAATTAATTTTTTTAAATATATCAAATTAATGTGAAGATACATTTTCAAGATTATTTAGAGAGAGAATAGTATCAATGGGCACAAGTTGACTCAAAAATACCAAAAAAAAACTAAGATTTTCATTTTAAGATTGCAGTCTCACAATTCATTTTCACATAACATCTTATTAAAATTGTTAATTATTATGGTTAAATTAATTTTAATTAATACTATATATAATTTAATAATTATATTAATGTATTATAATTTTTAATGTACTTATGAAAAAATAATATAATTTTTAATGTACTTATGAAAAAATAATATAATTTTTTATAATAATAAAATAATTAAAAAGTCATAATTACAACACCTCAAAATAATTTCAAACTAAACTAAAAAAAAA